AAAAAAAGGGGGGGGGGGGGGGGGTTGAAGTTCTATTATAAGAAAGTGACGTCTGACCTCCGGTAAAAAAAAAAAGATTGAATTTTTATCTTTAGGGGAAGGCGGCTGTTATATTAATCAATAAAGACCAACTGGTTTCATGCTGGTATGTTGGATGACGGTCTGTAGGACTGTCTATGGAATGTCTGTAGGGCTATTGTTCAAACGCCGGCATATATGATAGAAAATTAGAAGTTAACCCTTTTTTGAAACATTTGGTCTTGGACCCAACGGATATTTTATCCAAAACAAAAAAAAAAAAAAAAAAAAAAAAAAAAAAAAAAAAAAAAAAAAAAAAAAAAAAAAAAAAAAAAAAAAAAAAAAAAAAAAAAAAAAAAAAAAACAACCCTGGAGCCACTATAATAAAACAGGTTCCGGTTAAACCCCAGTAACTTATTGTTAGCCAAACTGTACTTAAACACAAAGTTCTAAACTACTTAGTTTTAGTTTGTTTCAAGAAAAATACGCTTTTCTGGGTTTTGCAGACGCAAAATCTGTAATTATTTCCGTCATATCCAACGCTTCTCATACCAGGTGTATAGCTAGGGTTAGTGCCTCCCGGGGTGGTTCAAAAAAAATCTGCAGTTAGAGAAAAATACCTTCCGTCCATTAAAAGAAGAAAAAAGTGCCACCTGAGGTGGACCGCACACCCCACTCCCCCCGGGCACCCTTTCTTCGCCTCTGCCCGTCCAAAAAAATCTTAAAACATTGCTAGCAGGAAAGTACGTTTAAAAAAAAAATATTTTGAGCTTGAAAACGCTTTTCTCACTTCTCTCTCAGCACTTGCACGTGTAATTGGGAGATTAAACAACTTTCGTATTGCCGTATAGTCATCATCATCAGTGGCGCTACAGCCCATGTAGGGCCCTGGCCTGCTCCACCACATCCTTCCATTGGGAGCGATCCATGGCTTTCCGCCTCCATGCACGAACCCCCAACTGGTGTATATCCATATCCACATCATCGACCCATCTCAGGCTTGGGCGACCGGTGAGTTTTCTGCCCCTAGGCTTCTGCCTATATATAACTTTTGCCGCTCTACATTCCGGCATCCTTTC